TGAGAGGGCAGGGTTTCGGGTTTCGGGTTTATTCAGCCCTAAACCCTAAACCCTGTAAACCCTAAAACCCTAAACCCTAAAACCCTAAAACCTTAAAACCCTAAACCCTAAACCCTATAACCCTAAAACCCTAAAGCCTAAAAACTAAACCAACTCTAAAACCCTATACCCCCAAAACCCTATTCTAATGATCAAAGGCCCACAGAGTATCACGGGACAGGCCCGAAGCTCCAGGGATAAGGATGCAAGGCTTAAGGGGTTTGGGGTTTATAGGGTTTAAGGTTTAGGGTTTAGGGTTTAAGGTTTAGGGTTTAGGGTTTAGGGTTTAAACCTGAACCCGGGGTTTAGAGCCCAATTTTGGTCCCAGAGTTTGGATTTAAATCTTGGCCACGGGTTTGTAGGGCTTTGGGTTTGGGGTGAGATCTTAGTCCAAAGTCGTCGAAGCTATACTGCAACTTCAGCGTAGCAACAAGGAGCAGCATGCCCAGAATGACCAGAATATCTGTAATCAGGAGGGCAGAAGTAACTAACGACACTAAGGCTTTCCTGAACCCTGAACCCTATTCCCCGACCCTGTAGAAGTGCATGGGGGCCCACAAAGGAAAACGGCGAGTCTGCAGGGAACCTCCTCAAGTTGTTGTTTAAGGTTCAGGTCACCAGAACCCTGAGCCCTAAACCCTAAGCCCTAAATCCGAAGCCCTAAGCCCTAAACCCTAAGCACTAAACCCCAAGCCCTAAGCCCTAAACCCTAAACTCTCCAGCACGCCGGGCTAAGGAAATGGAGTTCAATCTTATAAACCCCTATAAACCCCTACAAACCCTTATAAACCCCTAAAACACCCCTATAAACCCCTACAAACCCCTATAAACCCCTATAAACCCCTATACACCCGAAACCCTAAACCCAAAAAAACCCAAAGGACATGGAGTTCAATCTCGGATGGCTGGTTCAAGCAGAGGCCTGGCAGGTCTAACGCAGAAGCGGCTTAGGGGTTATAGGGGGTTGGGGTTTTAGGGTTTAGGGGGTTTAGGGGGTTCAGAGTTTAGGGTTTAGGGTTTGGAGGTTTAGGGGTTTGGGGTTTAAGGGTTTAGGGTTTAGGGTTTAGGGTTTGGGGTTTGGGGTTTAGGGTTTAGGTAGGGGTTCTTTCAGGGTTCCTTTAAGGGGTTCCTTTAAGGGGTCTCTAGGGTTTTGGGGTTTATAGAGGTTTAGGCTTAGGGTTTATAGGGGTTTAGGGTTTCAGGGTTTAGGGGGTTTTGGGGGTTCAGGGTTTAGGGTTTAGGGGTTTGGGGTTTGTGGGTTTAGGGTTTAGGGTTTCGGGCCGGTTTAGGGTTTGGGGTTTAGGGTTTAGGGATTTATAGGGGTTCTTTCAGGGTTCCTTTAAGGGGTTCCTTTCAGGGGTTCCTTTAAGGGGTCTCTAGGGTTTTGGGGTTTATAGGGGTTTAGGGTTTATAGGGTTTAGGGTTTGGGGGTTTAGGGTTTAGGGTTTAGGGGGTTTAGGGTTTGGGGGATTAGGGGTTTTAGGTGATATTTTTCCTTAATTAAGGGGTATTGGGCTATCTGGGTGCCTGCAGGTTTAGAATTGGTTGTTGCGCCGTCCGGGCATCAGGGTTTGTGGTCTAGCCAGCTTAGCCTGGGAAACTGGTTAGTTTAGGGTTTAGGGTTTGGCGTGTCGGGTTTAGGGTTAGTTTTAAGGGCCAAAGGCCCGAATACTCAAGCCTGAAAAATGAGTGATGCTGTTCTGTAGGGCTCCTGATGATAAATATGACGGCAAGGCCTCAAACCTCTATTCAGGTTGTTAGAGTCGCGAATTTCCGCCAAATCTCGAATCCCAATCCCGAAGCCCCTCAACGATAGACCCCAAAAGCCTAAAGCCAGAACCCCCAAACCCCTAAAATGCTAAACTTAAGGGTCAATAGGAGGGACCCCTAATCCAAATACCCTATATAACCCCCTATATACCCCTTATATATAGTCTCATAAAGCCCCTACATAACCCCAGAGGTCCCTCTAAGGGTCCCTCCTTTAGTCCCTTGATAAGCCCCACGACCCTACTAACCCTAAAGCGCACACGCTCGACCCAAAACTATAGGCCGTCCTAAAAGAGCGCCAGGTTAAGTCCTGAAGAGCCCATGAGTCCGATAACGATAAACCCTAAACCCTAAACCAAGGTGCCGTACTATTGTTTTGGGGGGGGGCGCAAAAGAGACCCTGATTTAGAGAACTGCCTATATAAAACCGGTTGAGGGTTTTGGGGGTCGAGAGCTTTCAGGGTTTAGGGGTTTAGGGTTTGTGCTTTTCAGGGTCAAGGTCAGGGGGTATGAAAGCCATGTAGAACCCTACCTCCTCCGCCAAAATCGCACATATAAAACTGTCGTACAACAACTCATCTCTATTGTAGCCTAGACGCTTTCTTCATAAGGCCACGGGTAAGAAAGCCACAACAAGGAATCCAGGTTCTACAGGAGTTTCAAGTGAACCCTACGCCTCAAAATCCCTAGACTCCGTAGACTTACACCTGCGAGTTGCAGGCTCCCCCGGGCATGTTGTTCAACCGCTTCAAGCAGATCATCAGGCTCGGCGGAAGGGTTGGGGGTTTTAGGGCTCAGGCAGATTTTGCAGAAAACCCTAAACCCTAAACCCTAAGCCCCTAACCTTTTCCGAGTAGTAGGGTAGGCAATCTTTACAGTAACCGTTTTGGGGTACTAGAACCCCTAGATACTCCCACCCTACTCCCCAAAGATGAGCCTTTAATTTCCCAAGGGTACTGGACGAGCCGGTTTTCTGGGCTCGGGTATTCAGGCCCTATCTTAAATCCCGAAACCCTAAAACCTAAACAATGAAGAATACCACACTCCAAACCCGCCTATGAGTTCAAGCCGCAAGGTTCTAATTGTTGTACCCGAACCACAGGCCCAAAATAAGCAAATAAGGGCCTTGCGGCCTAGGGTGTCGTACCGACACCATAAACCCTGAACCCAGAGAGTCAAAGGTTTTCCGTTTTGGCGCTTATGGGCTTAAGTAACAAACCCTGAGCTCTAAGGATTTCATGTGTTAGCTTCAGGGTTTATAGTGTATGCTCTCTGAATTTTGAGTTGGTGCTTTGGCTTCATGAGGCTCGAACTCCCACTGAACCTAAACCCTAAACCCTAAACCCTGCATCCCAGGTTACAAACCCTAAACCCCTAAACCCTAAACCCTAAACCCTAAACCCTAAACCCTAAACCCCTAAACCCCTAAACCCCTAAGCCCCTAACCCCTAAACCCTAAACCCTACACCCTAAACCGTGGGGTCCCCATGATACACTCGGAACCTCCAAAACCCCTTAGCGGTTTTAGGGTTTAGGGTTTAGGGTTTGGGGGTTCAGGGTTTAGGGTTTAGGGGTTTGGGGTTCAGGGTTTAGAGGTTTAGGGTTCAGGGTTCAGGGTTTAGGGTTTAGGTCCCAACACCCCACTCAGGCCTAATCCCTCAAGCCAGAACCCGAAATCCTCGAACCCCTAAACCCTAAACCGTAAATCCTAAACTCAA